CTCTTTGCGTGCGAGTCACAAACTTAATGTGACGCGTTATAATTTTTGCTTTAGTTCTTGTAAATATTGCAGCTTTCTTGGAATATTTGTTATTCGGTTTGTTTCAATACAATATAGTAATTGGGTTTGTTGTTGAAGGCACGTTCCCTGGCCAAAAATATTATGATCAGCGTGTCTTCTGTTGTTTGGATACTGAGGGAAGTTGGAATTGCTGCTAGCTCTAGTCGAAAGACCGGAAGATTAAAGGCCAAAATGAAAATATGGGGGAGCACCTATTGATTTTTTTTTTTAATGGATGATCAGTAAATTTTCAAGCAGTTCTATTTATAATGAAAGTTCGCACCCTTTTGAATGAGAAGGGTTGATTGAATGATCTCATGTTTTATCACTGCTATTGAACATGAGAAGTCTCAAAAGATATGATGAGACTAAATATTTGCGTTATCAATTCTTAGAATTGGGCTAGACATGTTGGCTATCCTGGCCGCTCTTTGCTCGGGTAACTGTAACTGTACTATAGCTGCTATTATCATTGCTGCTATTGCAGCATCCTTTCCTTACTCTCCGTGAGCTAGGTTATTCGTAACTCTTGTATTGTCTACCATTATTCCTCTAGTTGGTTCATTATTACTTGAATTGGATCGACAGGGGCCCATTCTATTCTCCCCTTTATATCTCGTATCTTATCCTCACTATACCTACTATCTTCTCTTAACTTCACAAGGAACAACATCACCATATAACCTTTACTTTCGTACATAACCCCTTCCATATACGAAACAGCAGCATAGTTTCATTGGTCACAACCAGTCATATCAAGAGTCACATAGTTAATACAACTACTTAGAACTATCCTAGAAAAGGAAAAGTAGCAGTAACAAAGTCCTCTAAGGCGTCCAGCATCTGCTTAAAAGTACACCCATCTACTCTGTCACAAATAGATGGTATGGATTCCTCCCAGATCCATGTTTTTAGAAGAGTATATAGCAGTGCTTTGCTCTACATGTCTGCATCCTAGGTCTGGCCTTCCTTATTAACTGTCGCATATAATCGCCTGACCCAACAGAAGAAATCAAGGTAAACGGTGGCATATTGATCTTTATCCCTCTTAATATACCTACCTAGGCACTTGAATTCCTTAATCAGGTTATCAATCGTGTTAAACTCCTTAGGCATTGATGATGACCTCTTCCTTGGAGGTAATGTTCCACTAGGGTTTGCCTCATCATCATGAGTTCTTGGTCTAGGCACTGGCCACGAGCATAATCTTAGTTGTAACTTTGTCACTAGCCGTGTGGTGGACCCTACCTCATCCTCCTGTAGCTCTATTATTTGATTCGAGCCCCCTCCAAAATGAATATCATCGGTCTCTCTAGGGAGTGAGTAATAATAATGTCCTAATGGGGGAGCAGGATCATTAGGATCCCCTACCAGAGGGTGGTAACATTCTGGGTACGATTCTCTAGGCATCCTGTGGCCAACAACCTCTATTGTGCAATCACTTTCACAGCATGCCATCTTCTTAACTTCTGTTCTTTCCCTAGTAGTGCAGCAAACCAAGCCAACAATATAATTCAAGCAATACAGTGCCAACACAATTCAAAATAACACAGGACAATATATGCCATACAGTACCACAGTGCACTACTAGCAAGACATTTATCAAACACATCCAAAATCCTTAATCCACAGCAACTTTAATGCATAATCAAAGCATATTACAATAAGCCAGAACTTTTTCTCTGATACCAAAAAGTGTTACACCTCTTTCATTACCCTATTATATAACAATTGAAACCATTCAAAACCATTATATAAGTCTTAAGTATGAAAAAATTTCAATATTTGAACTTAGGTTCTGAGTTACTATTCATGATTCATAGCATTTTGGCCAATTTTGAAAATTCATAACTAATTGTAGAAAAATCAAAACAAAGTGGTTCTAAGTTCTATAGAGAGCTCTTGACATGCTCTTCAAAGAAAAAAATACTTATTGGTATCCAAATCTCATGCATCAATCTCATATTTTGTTCAAATTAGTACTGTTCATTTGGTCATTTTTTAATTTTTCAGGATTTATGCCCAATTTTGGAAGGGCATATCTTTTTGTACAAAACTCCAAATTTAGTGAATTACCACTTGTTTTAAAGCTAAAAATAAGATCTATAAGATATATCAAATTTCAGATCTAGATGCATCCAATTGATCGAAATCACGTTGGTCAAATTTTGCTACCAAAAAGTCAACTTTTATCTCTTTTCTCATACCATTCTTGCTTTTTCTTTTTCTTTTCTTTCATCTAGCTTTTCTCAACCATATGGCATGTACTCACACATAATCTTTGATCAATTACTTACATGTACTTATCCTTAAACATTAACATAATAATTCAATATGGTTTACAACCATACATAACAATATATAATTACAAAACGTTGTTTCAATAACATAAATTCCCTCATCCTCCAAGTGAATCCCTTTCCTTTCTCCTTGCCCTTAGTGACAACTCCTGGGATTCCTATTATTGTTTGTACATTGAGGGAAGTGAGATTTCATTGAAATCTTAGTAGCAATGAATTACAATCATTATGTAAATCAAGTGAGTATAATGTGACATGTTATCAAACATCAAAACATTCTCAAGTCACATAAAATCATATTTTGCATCATACCAAAAAAGGAACATCAACACTTTCATATTGGCATGTTTCTATGCATTTGGCCAAAGCATAGCCAAATGTTATAAAGTCAACCATTATCATCACATAATTTCTCAATTCAAGCAATCAACATAATCACATTAAACAAACAAAATAAGCAATCAAATTATAATTTAATGCTACCTCTTAATCCTTGATGCAATTTAGACTCAAGGGAATTATGCTCTCCTTGAATTTCCTCCACAAAACCTATCAATTCAAGTGTAAACACATTCCAATTCATCAATAATTCAAGCACAAATACCAATGCTTGAAATTATAATTATTTTCTTTTTGTTTCCATCAATCTCTTGGTCCATTTCTACACAATTTTTTGTGTAGAATCTAAATATGTAATTAGATTTATAAAAATCACACTCCTTCCCTTTCATTTAAGCTTGGCCGAATAGAGGTCTATATTTTTCAAAAATTCCATTTTTGATTCTAATGATTTCAAACACTTCTCTTTAGTATATTCCTACACAAAAACACATTTTAAACTTATTGAAATCATCAAAACACATCAAAACAAACTCCTACCCTAAGATAGTATAGTGGCCGAATTGATGTTCCTTGAAGCCTAGGTTGATTTCCTTCCAAAAATCAATCCATACACTACTTAAACATGCTCATTTCACATCATATTTAAGGTTTCTATCCTTCCCTAAAGCATAAGCATGTTAACCGAATTTATGGCAGCAAAGCACTTCCAAAATAATTCAATTTCCTAACCAAAACAAGCTTTAATCTTAACCAAACCAAAGCTCAAACATACGTTGGTAAATCCTTGATTAAAGCTTGATGATTTCTTGTCCAAAAGCACTTATCAAATTCAGTCTCCAACTTCAAAAATGAAATGGTAGCACGTCCCCTTATTTTACTAATTTTCTACCTATTTTTTAGTATTTTGAGGGGGTATTTATAGAGAAATAAATCTGGCCTCTCGCCTTGATCAGTGGCCTAAATTTAGCCAGAAAAAGTGGCTATGTGGCTGCCATCCAAGCCTCAAATTCTCAGATCGTGCCAAGTGTCCTGTCTCTAGAACTTTCCTACTGATATTTATGCAAAAATTGAATTTTATTAATATTTAGTGAAGGGTCCAGATTATTCACAAAATTAGGCTTAATTCAGACCCAATGTGGGTCCCACACATGGTTTAAGATAGCCCAAAAAGATAGCCCACAAACCAAATCAAAATCTCAAACCATTCTGAAACTTTATCGATTACTATTCACTAGTAACATTTTATAATTTTTCTAGACCTTCAAAAATTTATTTCTCTCCTTGATAATTCACCTTTTAATATAAAAACATGATCTAGAAATTGTCAGAATTTTTTTCCACCTCTAGGTATTTATTGTTAATTTTTCTCTATTAGGCCTCTATCGGTGTGATTGCGGGAAAATAAATTTTTTAAAATTAATTTCGGAGCTTCCAAGGCCTAAAAATAATTTTATAAATTCAAAAAAATATTTAAATAATTTTTCATATTTTTTTCAGAATTATTGAGGCCTCTAGATATTTAAAATAATTATTTTCCCTTAATTTTTTGCTATTTTCTCAAAAAACCTCCGTATTCGGGAAATTCTATAAAAATTCATTTTTCCATAATTTTCACCTTTAGGGCCTTCATTGAGGTTCCAAAACCTCTAATTCACAAATTTTTTATTCTTAAGAAAATTTCTAGAATTTTTCTCAAATACCGATAATTACGAAAATACCAGCCTAGACCTTATCAGGGTTTCATATAAAAAGTTATTTCATCTCCCCATCTAGTTTCTACACTGGCCTTGAACCAAATTTTTATCCCTCCTGTCAATGCTAAATTCGACGGGACGTGACAATATCAATACAGGGATTTGACTTCTGAGCAAGTATATCTATAGAGGCATGCGCACGTAAGATTTAGAATGAATGAATATCATGTAATTAATAATTAATTATATGTCACATTAAACAAATAAATAAGATAAAATATTTGTAAAGATTATTTTCAAAGAGAAAGATAATAAATCTATTGAAGGTCCACGTAATTCTTAAAAAAAAAAAAAGAAATATCATTACTACAAATAAGGTCATTTTTGTTGCCAATTTTCATCTGTTTTGAAAAATAGAAGAATATGGACCTTCAAACTAGTCTGTTAAAAGGAAACTCCTCATATTCGTTTGTCTCTCTTAAAAATAGACGAACAGCATTTTTTTTATTCAAATTTCATCTTTGCCGTGCATAGAACTGGACATGCCCTAGCAAATACGTCTTCTCCTCTCTTCTTCATGTGTAGCAAGCTCTCTCCCCCTTCTTTAGATTTCTACTTCTCCTTCTCTAGCGCTGATGTTGGCAACTAAGTTTACCTTCTCCCTTTCTAGTAGCTTGCCGTCTTCTTCTCCCTCTCTTCCCCATTCTTCATCTATGCCATCCTGTAACCAAGAGCAACATCTTCTTCCACAGAAGTAGCCATTCTCGTCTAGTTTAAGCTTGTTCATAACGCAAGATAAGTGGCATGGGTGTGTGTCTCTTATATTATGTGGGTTTTTGGATGTTGAAAGGAATGAATGTAAGTGTTTGTGGATGTGCATGCTTTCTATTTAAATTGATTGTTGGTAAGAATTGCATTTAGGAATTATTCAACATTGATTAGGCTATATTTTGATAATTAAAAAGCTTGCTAAACTTGTTTAAACCTTAATGCTCATAAGATGTTTGTGAAAATGTCTAAGAGAGCAATTTGATTGGAATATAATAGTTAATTAAGTATTCTCAATATTTAATCTTCATATTGAATTTTAGAAAGCTTTAGATGCTATTTAAACATATACATGTATATAATTTTATTTTTATTACTTTGTACGTAGATAGTGTTAGGAGAAGTATGCTTCAATTTCTATTGGAAAGCCTGAGTTGAATATTGTAATCATCCTAATTAACATTGCAAGTAAGCTTGAAATTGTATTTGATATTGTGAAGATGAAAACTTTGGGATATATGTTCTTACATCTTGTTTGATTGCTAAAATTGTTTGATTTAATTGTGTTAGATAGTTTAACTTAGTCTTGAATTGCTTTAATTTTGTTGGAATTGAGCTTGATTGGATAAAAATGTTTTAATTAGTTTTGAATTGCTTTAATTTTTTTAGAATTGAGCTGGATTGAATTTAAATTTCCTTATTTTATGAACATATAGATTTTTAATGATGAAAGCTCCTATATTGATGAAAATATCGATGGTATTCGAGATCGTTTGACAGGACAATTCTTCAAGAGTTTTATTCGCAATCATGAGGTCAAAAATGATTTTTTTTTTGTTTGGATGCTTCTTTTTTTTTTTGGCTTAACCAAGTTAGGATGTCATTAATTTCTTAGTTTTAAAACTTTCTTTTATTATATCACTAACTTATGAGTTTTAGTTCTTTTTGCTTAACTAAGCTAATTAATTAGGATGTTATTTGTTTTAAATATTTTGACCTTTAAAATTGTGGATTATGTGGATTCTATTTATATAGAAAATATGTGATCTGGTTGTGATGAATTGCTGTTATTGTTTACTATAACCTGTCTTAGTCCTATTGTACGTATGCTTTTAGAATTATAGATTGAATAGAAGTTGGCAATATTCAAATTTCCATCCTTTTTTCAAAAAAAAAATTTGTTTGTTCTGGTCAGTACATACAAAAATAGGCATGCATACTCGTTTGTTTTGACCAGAACAGACAAATATGTATGCCCATGTTTGTCTGTTATGGAATAGATGAGTATATGGATGCCAATATTTTTTTTAAACAAGCTGAATATTTAATTACTATTTATGTCTCCTCTATTGATGTCTCCCCCAAAATAGACAACAAAAAAAAAAAGCCTTTAAAATAGATGAAAATAACATATTTTGTAGTAGTGTATATTAGCATATACCTTTCTAAAATGAGTGTTTATTGTTCCACAGCGTTTGCTTTTAAAAACTGATAACCTATCAAAATTCCTACTGATTCAACTTGTTTTAACATTCTTTTCTCGGTTTTGGAAGCTAATTGTGCAGGGTTATTCCCTTAAAGCTAGAAAATATGACTTGAAAAAGTAAACTTTGATTTATGCTAACAATTGGGGATTATTGTGTAATGCTTCTAAGATTCTTGTTGTAAGAAATAGCAAGAGCTGAAGATGAATGACAAGGAGAAAGATTTAACCAATTTTGATTGATCAGAGGAAGATCGAGGGCCCAGAGCAAGCAAAGATGGAAGACCAAAGGTAGAGAGGCTGAAAAAGCAACATCCGCCACGGCGCTTGAAGCAACTCGCGACAGCATCTCCAACAGAAAGGAAGGAGAGGCATCCTGTATAAGGAGCCACAGCGCCTGTCTATATCTACTACAGCTCGTGTCTATATCCGCCGTGGCTCCCAGTCCTTCCCAAGGAGCTTGCCATTTTGTACCACTATCCATACCACTATCTGCTCTTTAATACAAGTCACTTAAAACACAATCTTGCATACTAAGGAATATATTAAATTTGAGTGAAAATTTTTCAATTTCATCCTTATTAAAGTTTTCTCTATCTCTCTATATTTATAAATTATTCTCATATCTCTCCCTTCTTTTTCTGCTTCCAATGAGAATTAAATAAAGATAAAATTGAAAAACAAGCATTAAATATATTACAAATGATTTACATTGAGCACCGGAATGGTATTTTCCATCAACCTCTGATGGTTTTAGTGAGCATATTCAAACTCTTTAGTCCAGTTGGTTCACATTAATTGAATCTAAAAACTTTTCAATTGTGTTGGATCTTCTCGAATATTGTCATGATTCTGATGAAGAGTTTGTTGGAGAACTTCGCTGGTGGACTTGCGAGTTCATCAAAAGAGGCTATTTTTTTAGCCTAATTAAAAGCAACTCAAAAGCTCGATGTTAGAGATGGCCAATTTTCCTCACTGATAGTAGCAGCAAAACTGGACTCTATTTTTTTTTTCTTCTCAGAATGGACCAGAACACATATATATATATATATATATATATATATATATATATGGGGAAGATCTATGAAGGTGCCGGTAGAAAATGTAGTACAAAACTGAACATGGAAAAAAATGTAATTTGGAAAAAAAAATGAAAACTGTTCAGAGGTGAGATGTTCGCATATGGTTTCTCTCCTCTAGCCTCCTTTTCTTCGTCACCATTAGATTAAAAATTTCAATAGTTCATATTTAACATTTTTTAATAAAACTAGATTTTACTCGCCCGTGCGATGCACGGGAAATGTATAATTACATTTTATAGCATTGATGACAATCAATAATTTACTACAGACTAAATATTTGTACTATTTACATTTGTAAATATTTCTTTGTACACAACATTTGTTGTAGTTCTCTTCAAACAACCATCTTTATCATCAACAACAATCCTTAAACCATCCATGCTCTTTACTCTGGATAACGCAACATATAGCTGTCCATGACTGAAAACAGGCTTAGGCAAATATAGACCAACATGCCTTAATGATTGGCCTTGACTTTTGTTGATTGTCATTGCAAATGATAACATTATCGGGAACTGCCTCCTTTGCATTTTAAACGGCCAACGACTTTCAGAAGGATTCATATCCATTCGATGAATTAGAACTTTTTGGTTGGGTTTTGACCCATTCAATGTTATGGCTTCAATCACGCTTTGTCCCAGATGAGATATTAGAAGTCGTGTCCCATTACACAGACCTGAAGCTTGATCTATGTTTCGCAATAGCATAATTGGTGCTCCTACTTTCAAGTGTAACTTGTGTGGTGGCATTCCAGAGCATGTAATACTATTTAAGAATTCTGTGGTATAGAGGCTGTCCATTGTATCACTTTCTTGACCAGATCTGCACACATAATCACAGCTGAGGAACTCAAATGATTCTCCTGGTAACAAAGAACAGACGTAGTGATTTATTCGATCAACCATTTCAATTGTTGGGGCCAAGATTGCTCTATCATTGAAGTATTCACCAGAAGCTAAATTATGAAGGAGATTTGTGTATATACTATCCACAATCGCATGAAGTGGGTTGTTATAATTTGTGAGCAACAACTCTTTAGGGATTTCAACTTCTGCAACACCATCACTTGATTCACCTAATTTTCCATCACCAATATGTAGCAACCAATTTGAAAACCATTCTAACTTTTCTTTATGACTGGGAATAGCAGTTGAAGTCAGTCGCATGTTCTTTGTTAACTTCAAAATTCTACAATGATTCCATAAGTATGAGGAATTAATTGAAGCATTAACAATTGTAGCTCTTGTACCTTTTGGTATGACTGGAAGAATTTGACGAAAATCACCACCCATGACAATGCATTTACCACCAAATGGTGCATTAGAATGCATAATATCCTTCAACGTTCTATCAAATGCTTCAATACAATACCTCTGAACCATCGGTGCTTCATCCCAAATGATTAACTTTGTGGACTTAATCAGATTTGCTAGTGCTGAGTTTTGCTTTATCCCACATACAGAAGACTCTGTGATTTGAATGGGGATTGCAAACCTTGAATGTGCTGTTCTGCCAGATGGTAATAATGTTGCAGCTATTCCACTTGATGCAACTGGAAGTACAATTTCACCTTTTGCACGTAATGTTGTTATCAATGCATTCCAAAGAAATGTTTTGCCTGTTCCACCATACCCATACACAAAGAAAAACCCACCGTCAGATAGATTAACTGCGGACAATATGATATTATATATGAGTAGTTGCTCATCATTCAAACTCTGGGAAAGTGTATTAGCTTCCTCTGATAAGGCTTGTCTATCATAACTCAATTCTTGCAGTATGAGATGGTTGTGTAGATCAACTGTTGCAGTTTCTGTTGGTAACGGTAATGAAGGAAATTCATGTAGACTTTTCCCATTTGCATGAAGTAGATTATCAATCTCTTTCAAAGCAGCATTCTCTTTTTCAGATAGAGAGATATGGATATCTACAAAAGATAACCAACCAGTAATAGAAACGTGAATATTCTCCATAGATAAACATACTTTGTATAAAATATAAATTAAAGTTATCGAACCTGATGAGACTGGATCATTATAAGATATGTAAAATAGATCTTCTGAGAGTAGCTTTGAGGTTTCCTTCCATACAATGTCAGGTTGTTGTAAAGAACAACATAATAACATGCTTACAAAGAGCCTCCTTAATTGAATTCCAGATGCCCATATGGCTGCTTCCTTGATTGCAGTAATGTATTCATTATCATCTTGTAAGAGTCCCAGAGCAAAACATGCAGATTTGAAAGTATCATGAACCATACCATCAACAGTTTTGATATCATCAAATGAGGTGGGACCCCTTACAGTAGTTAGTAACAATCTAAGATAATATAATTCTCCAGATGATGGTGACACATGTGTGATCCTACCAACGGCAAAACCTCTTTCTCGCTGTTTCCATTGACGTTTATCTTTTTGGTAGACGTAATAATTAGGAAATTCAGCATATGTAAGAGTTGAAGCCAACCCGCCATCTTTATTGATTTTCATCCAAGCCAAGAATTGTGATTCACAAATTCTTGGTTTTTCTAATAACTCCGCAACATCATCAGTATTAGAATAAATCACATATTGTTGATTTGGTAGATGAAAACTCAATCTTTCAACAGGAGGAAAATGATGGTGGACATCAAATCCAAACATGCGCCATGATGCTTCACATGCAGAGATATACCTACAATTGTAATATTGTTTTATTTCATCAATCACTTCTTCTTGATTGTTGTCCTTATCAAATATAGTAGCAACAACTCTATCATTGCCTTTGCTAATATATTTAAATAAGTATTTAATTGAAGTAGATTGATTGCATTTCTCAACATTTATATGTCCTTGAAACATGCACAATAATGTAGCATTATATGGAACAACATAACGATTATCTAAAGGAACACCTTTAACTTCAATTGTTCTTCCATCATTCTTTCTTCTATATGTTGGATAACCATCATCATCAATTGTGGTATTATCATTGAATTTTTTTGGGAAATACTTGCCACATTTCTTGTCTTTCATGCATGGTGATTTTGGGTTAACAGCTCCACATGGACCATGAATCATGTATTTTTTAACCAAATCATATAAGAGAGGTGAAGAATGCTTATCTGGAATCTCTGCTGAAATAACTTTGTCAATGGCATCCGGATCATTGATCTTATCATTTGGATCAAGAAATAATAATATATGTGCATGTGGCAACCCTCGTTTCTGGAATTCAATAGTATATACCTCTGTAAAAATTAAGATTGGTTAAAACAAATTATAATAAATAAATTTTAAATTTATATAAATATTTTACATGTTTGACGACATTACAAAAATAATAAACACTAACCTGCACGTATTGTTCCAAAAATCTTCTTTTCCCTTAATGTTTTCATCAATGACCGTAACTTCATTTTGAAAACTCTAGTCAATATATCCGGACGATCTGAAGGATTTACTTTATCTTGTTGACAAAGCCTTGTGATTTCTGGCCATGCTGGATTGCAAGTGAATGTTATAAATATATCTGGATAGCCTGCCCATCTACATAATGCCATAGCATCTTGATAATTTTGCAACATATATCTTGCTCCACCAGTAAATGATGAGGGTAATATAATACGTTTCCCAGTAAGTGAAGCATTCCTCTCACCACTTAAAACAGCATCAGATAATCCTTGGTACAAATCAGCTCTAAGTTCTTTTTGATGAGTTCTAACCCAAAGCAATCTTTGTGACTCAATCATAGTGTAACCATCCACAATGAATTGTTGAAGTAATCTTGATGCATGTAACAATATTGACATCTCGTTTTCTCTTCTCATAAGTCTGTATGTGAAAAATTCTCGTATGCTTAACCTTTTTCTTGACTTTGTAACTGGAAGAGTTTCTTCTCTGTGTTCAATATCATCTCTGTATCCATCTTCACCATAAGGAAACAGCAGAGGATATTGTAGAGGTAAATATGCTGGATGTAATTCATTAATTCGCTGTGGTGTCCCTGATTGCTCTTCTATGATAATGTCCCTGACATTGAACATAATATCTATGTCACCGACAATCAATGCTGCAACTTCAGAAGCACAGGGAAGATTGTAGGTTCGCCCATCATTTGCCCTTGAACTCATCAAGCATAATCTCAAATTTTGACGGTGTTCTGTACTTAAAAATTGTGAAGCAAAACGATATTGTTGTACAAATGGATTAACTTCATCCAATTGAGTCTTTATTTGTGCAACAATTCTTCTATCAATTGTTGATTCCCTTTGGTGTTTACTGGAAAAAAGATAAATATGAAGTTCATAAATTTAAATTTATGAATAATAAAAATTCAAATGATAAAATAATAAAAATGTAGTAGCAAGTAATACCTGACAGCAGCAACTCTGTTTGAGATCTCATTGTCAGTATCAAATATGTATAGTTGTGAGTACACTGGTTGTGAACCTTCAATTGGTAATAAGCTGCCAATATTATGATAATTTTGTCCAGACAATATGAATGAGTAAGGACCTCCACCGGAATTTTTAGAATGATCAATCTTTCCTCCCATAGACGTGAAAGAGAACATGTTATTGTACTGCCTTATATTTGTATGAAAATTCTTTGAGTCTGCGGTATCCTTTTCTAGAAATAACTGTTGGAAGAGAACAGGCGGTGCCTTCAAAGGGGGTAGTACTATTTTGCCTTTCATACAACACATTGAAAATGTATTAACCACCCTTTTTTTATTATCTTTCTTCACTCTTTCATTATACCAAAGTAGGGCTCCACAGAATTTGCATTTATGTATTGGATCTCCCTCATCAATGTATTCTAATAAAAGATAAGAAGTGAATTAGTTTTATATGAGGAATAAATTATGGCGTGAAGATTCAAATTTAAAGGAAATAAGATTACCTTCATAATTAATATCATTCTGGAAACATGTTCTTCTGGTACTATGATCTAAATCAGAATTACTACCTGAGTGGCACGTATCAAAATATGGTCATATTTAACAAAACTATCATATATACTATAATCCATACATGTACACACACACATATATGTGAAAATATGAAATAATAACAAATATAACAGCAAAATTACACGTAGTAACCTGCAACATTTTCAGTGTTTGGAAAATAATCTTCACAATCATCTCTATCGCTAGCATCAATCATCAGATGAATGTCCTTGTAATATTTTTCTTGTGGTGTGAAATCTACAAGAAAAAAGGAAATTACCATGTATGTACAAAACTCCCATCATCACTTTTGTAAATTGAATTAATTATAGGGAGAATGAAAAAGAACAACCAAGAGGGAGTGATATTTATGGAAAGAGATGATAACAATTAAATTTATTTAAAAGAACCAAATATTGAAGTATAAATTTAAAAGCACTATATTGTCCTTATCCAAACGTTCTACACTTTCTCCTATATTTTCTCCTACATTTTATTTTTAAAACTAATATCAATTAATAAAATTCACTAAATTAAACGGACTTTCTTTCACAATTTACAACATGTGTAAAAATCAATGAAAAGATATGCAAAAAAATTTTAGTCAAGTAAAAATCAAAGTTTTCTATTGTTTAAAAGAAATTTATTTTTAAAACCATTGTAGATTTTAATTAAAATTAAAATATTACATAAAAAAATGGAAACTTTAAATTTTATATCACCGAACAATATTTATATATTTTTAATTGATTTTTACATAACTTGTAAACTTTAAAGGAAATGAGGTTGAGTTTAGTGAAATTTATTAATTTGTACGTTAATGATATTTATTCAAGTTATCTGTTATCAAATATACTTTATTGGAGAATAAACATCTGTTACATCTAAACCCATGTGCTTTATGTAATTGTTAATATTCAAACCAATAATACCTTGCTCTGTTACATACATTAGATACGAATGTGACTCTTAACTATGTTGTTTGAAATTAATTTCATTGACTAACCTTGCTGTAGATTACTTGTCTTTCTTCTTCTACATGGAGGTTTGTTGACATCATTATTTCCTAGACCTCTATTCCTAGCACTTTTTCGGGTTAGAGGTTGCACTCCAAAATGTGGTCTTTTATGGTTGACAAATTGAAAGTTGCAAATGCCTGTGTCATACAAATATAGGATTAAATAGAATTATTGGTAATAGATATTGAAACATAACACATACCTGTGAGCATATTCCTTTGAAATCTGTCTGTTAGATTGGAAGATACGTTTGTTATATCTTGCAGCATAATAGGTTTTTTTCTTTCTTTGTGTAGAACATCAGTGGATGATTGAGTATTGATATCATCTAAAACATCGCCAAAACCCTGATTTTTTTCAACTCCCATATAAGTATGTGAGTCTTCTTTATTGTTTCCAGCAGAAGATGAACTCGAACAATGGGTTTCAGCTAAATTGATTAATCCTAATAAGAACATAGAAATTAGGACGTCATAAATAGAACATAATACAGGAAATAGGAACATATGTCTAAAATTATCCTTATCATAAGAATTTATTTTTCATGTGTAAAGATAATACCTGACGAAAAGCATCCATTAACATATGATCCATTGCCCATGGATGGTGAAGATGATGTTACGCATTTACCGCTATATCTGTGGGTAGATTTCAAATGGAGCTTGCGCTCAAATATATTACTGGAAGACATGGGTTTAGAACATACAAGCTATTCTAATATTCGAGCAATAGTAGCATCTAAAATGAGAGGCAAACAACTTTGTTTTTAATGCAATAGAAACAGGTATGTGTATGTCCTTATATATATATATATATATATATATAAAAGACGATGTTGATCTTGATGAATAGTAACAACTTTCTTGACATTAGTTTATAACCATTGGATAGTTTTATTTCAATCCGACTCCTTCAATCTCATTGGCTACTTCACTGTCTATCCATGCCATTGCTTTTATTAAATATTAATTTTTCATATACATATTACTAAGTGAACAGCACTAACACTGTACGAAATTGATAGCAAATGTGTGGGAAATTGATGGGAAGTAACTGTGGCAAATTGATGGCAAGTGACTGTGGAAAACTCATGGTATTCACTTCGACGCTGTATCCGTGCCGTGTGGAATAAATGTTGCAGCATTATATTATCTTATAGAACAATTCTAATTATTATATATACTATATGCTTGTGCAGACCGAATAAAGATCTTTGATAGCAAAACGAAGATCTAATTTTATTTCATTTTTATTATTCATTAGAGATACTAATTTTGGTCTTAAATATAACACATATTTATTATATTTATTTATATTTTCTGTAAATTATCCCTATGAGTACTCTCTGAACTATAATCAAATACAAGAGCGAGGCAGGATTATGTTTAAAGAAGATGATAATGGTATTTTAGGATAAACGTGTCATATTTTTTATAATTAACTAATTTATCTAACTTTCTTAATATAATCAAATTAGTTAAATAGGTTTTATATTAAAGATCGGAGGAGTAACAAATAAATATTTAATCCTATTACAATACCAAAAAATATGTTTCATAAGTTTTTAAGCTTTATATGAAGTTTGTGTATTTATTTTCAAATAGCTCATAAGATATGAGTTTTGTTCCGCAAGCAAAAGAAATTGCATAATTCATTTCAACATTTGTTGTCAATGGATTCTGTATAACGTATCCTTAAATATAATCCTGATGTTTAAGAGGATGTGTCCTCAAGATCTGAAATATACATTTATATGTGTGTGTGTGTCATCAATATAACTTCAAACTTTTTATAATCTGGATATTCAAATAAGATAAAGTGAATGTTTAAAATTTCAAGTAGAAAAATAAAACATCATTTTTTGCCACCCAATAATTGTTTTAAGCTAAAATTAAAATATAAAAATGTAATTAGCCTATTAGTCTGAATTTTTATGGGAAAACAGTAAAGTTAAAGTGAATCCCCGTATAAATTGTATTTTATACTAATATTGTTCCCACAATAACCTATATGATGAAGTCAATCATTTCCAATATATCGTCCTAGATTCAAATAATTCATAAAGATACGAAATAGAATCATTAACTTGAGATGAGAGCAACTAAACCATGAAAATACAACACAAACGTAAACTACTTTGATTAAATAAAAACTTACAAAGGTTCATAATGACACATACTAAGGTAAACAACATAAATGATACAAACACAACTTCATCACAGAACTAACTAAAAGGAAATACAAACTTCCAACTGACAACAGACAGAACAGCCACACGAACAACTTTTAAGAACTGCAAAGGATAAGTAATACACTTAACACATATAATATTGGACAAGACACCCATTATCTGTTACACTACTTCTCCAACTTGATAGTTTTCACATGCTTCTGTTCATTACTTGAGCTTGATCCAGTGTTAGTACCCTCAGCAATAGCATCCTCAACATTCTTCCTCACGACGCTTCTTTTTCTCCCTTTAACTGGAGGAGCTTTAACACGGTTGACCATATTTGAAAGTGTGACATCCTCTTCAGCAACACATTGTGAAACTAAATCTTTTCCGCAATTAGAGGAACTCCTTGAGTAACATTCATATGTTCCTGACTTTGTTCCACAGCAGGTTGTGAATACTGAATAAAGCATGATCAACATCATTTATAAATATCAGAACAATTGATGGTATTTAAACATATAAATCAGAATTTGAAGGGTCCTTAATTTCCTCAATCTGCTCACAGAATAGTGCATTTAAATGGTGAATATATCTTACAATATGTAAAAAATGATTTAATCAAATTAAACAAATACCTCAATGGATGCCTCAGTAAATTGATCCATTAAATCTTCACATAAATGATATTGCATCACACTAATACTGGAACTTGGATGTCGTTTATTGTAGTCATTCAGTTTAAGAGTCAACAACATACTCTTCCCAACAGGATTGTCCAGATTTTTGGGGAAATCAACTTCCTCAGGATCCTAATCCATCACAAATCCTTCAATCAGATATAAGGTTTCAATTTTAATGAGGCTAAATCAATCAACATTATTTTATATTTCAGTATACCAACAAATTAGTAAACATATCATATATCAAATTATAAGGATTGTTATACCTCATCTAGAATAACCTTCAACTCAGCGGCTGAATTTTTAATTAACTCAACCGCAAGTTTATCCCAGAATATTATTGAAGCAATTCCTGTCTCATCTTTCACAGTGTAATGAAGCTTCATCCTAAAAACATAAACAAAGTAATACATAAGGTAGTTTATATACTGAAATATCTAAGAATGCATAAACTACCATTTTTAACCAGTGCAAAATATACTTGTGGTCAATAAACTCTGGTTTCTTCTGACATGATGGGCATATCCAACTCTCATTCTCTAAACGAAGCTTTGTACCACACTTGGAGCAACCTTGATAGATCCAACCATATCTGGTCTCTAACTTTTGAATAATGCACCTAATGACAAAAGTTTCTCCCTGACATACAAATGTACAAAGTTATACTGATTAAAATAACTTATACAATATTGAATTTATAAATTATAAATTAGATTTAGATAGTATAACTATCATAAACCTTACTAACCATGGGTTGATCTTTTATGTTGATATAGCAATCGGGCTTTGGTTGCAATTGATGCTAGTACGTGACTGTTGACTCAGTGGAGTTAGTACGGGCTGGCTAAGGAAGGACAAACTTGGAGAGCCATTGTCTTTTGAACTATAATATAATAAGCACCAACAAATTAATTTATATAATCAATTAAGTGATTAATTGAGCAATTTGATTGAATTGATTGAGTTTATTTGTTAGTTTTGCAAACCTATCAATCATTAGTTGCACTTCCTTGATGGGTGGGTTGAAAAACACCCTTGTGGCATTAAAAGAATTGCAAACCTGTGCTCTTCCTATATTTAGATAGGTAATGGAAGAAATAATAATTAGTCACAGCCAATAAATCTTGAGAACAAAAAGTATTCTATATATAAGGTCATTAAAGATTATGATATCTTACCATCTTCTGAAAAACCAACCCTAGCCAGGTTTAACAACACCACAACAGGTGTCTGTGTATTCTGGAGCTGAGACATGAAAGCATCGCTGGCACATTCATCAAAAATATACATTCTACATTGATTCCGCTGAAATGCATGAACATGAATTATCAATTATCATCATTAGTATCTACATAAGTCGTTGCACAGTAAAGGAAAAAAAAACGAAACAAAAGTTACTGAAAGGTTCTGTACTCAATGTCACTCAGCACCATCCTCAATTTATTCTTGGTTTCATTGTCCCGCCGATATTCTTCAAGAGTGCCAATTGATTTGACAAATGCTAAAACGTCTGGAAAATAGAGCAACACATGAAGTGTCAATAATTCAGTAACAACATAAATGATAATACTATTATTAAAATGAATGAAAATGATGTCAAATACCTATCAAGTATTCAATATTATGCTTCTCATTATTGAGTTTCTCTATCTCAGCAAGTGGAAAGAAAGAGTAGGAATAAGATGGCACAATGGCTATTTTCTCAGCAACATGTGTTCGTGGAGTTATAGTGATCTTGAAAGGATGAGTGGTAGCTCTATATTGGCTAACATTAGCAGAGACCTCAAAATTAGAAGAATAAATAAGTCTCTCCTTCAATGATACTGTGGCGAAACTTGTCATGTAAACTTTTGGTTAGAACACTTGCTTGTATTTATCCCCCTGTAAACAAAATAATGATTTCCATTATTAACTAAAGCATTAGTAAAAAAAAACCACAAGTGACATATGCAATTTGTTAATATTTGTAAAGATAAAGAGACCTCTTTGTCTAATAAAACCATTGTCACGCAGAAGATATCAGCAGATGATCCCTTATGGAAGACATTCCATTTCCTGAAAACTCTTGCAACTATGTGCCACCTATCGGTTCCATCATTCAAATGTCTTAGGAGTGATATACGTGGCATCTTCAATAAAACTGAGAAAGTGTGATGAAAATAAAAGGTTGAAGATTGAAAGACTCTTAAAATAGAAATTCAAAGTGTTTCAATGGTGAGATGCATGAAGGAAGTAAGTTATATTTATACACAAGCATAGCATTGTAAAAATGAAGCGGGAAAACAAACCACTAAAATTCAATGAAGAATACATGTTTTTTGGCGGGATAATATGAGCGGGAAGATGATACTAAAAAATAAAAAACTGCAAGTACTTCAATGGTAAAAAATGTTTCAGAATAACTTCTACTGCTATTCATAGGTAGAGAAGGAGGTTATACTTACCTAGATGTCAAGCAAGATATTGTTAGAAGCAAGAAACTGTACGAAAGATATCTTTAGATGAGCAGGTTGAAATGATGATTCAGAAATAATAGACACAGTCCCTACTTACATCATGTTAAAATACTACATTCATCTCCTTTTCAGCAGGATGTCATTCAATACATGTGTTATATGAAATCGTTTTGCAGTTTGTACGATGGAGATAAATGATACAGCTGAATAATGCAAATAGTCAGTTTGGAGGTGTGGTCCAATAACAATATAATCCGTAGCTCAAAAAGAGAAAGGCCTCAAACTTTGTATTAGATTTGTATGATGTGTAGCGGACAATAATAATAATGATGTTCAACTTTTTTACCTTTGAGGCTCAAAGCTTATCTCTTTCCCTGATGAAAATAAAACTGAGAGAGAATTTAATATTTCATGATTTGCCTCGTCATACCAAGGTCCCCTGTCTTGCTCTGTTTCCTCTGTCAATTTATGCTCTATTGGGTGCAGTTTTTTTTATCTATATTT